GGCTTTTTGTGTTGGTGGGAAAAGGTTTTTTTCCTATTAAAACTGAAAATGCCTCTTGGACCTCCTTCAAAGTATGGCTGTAAATTTGTACAAATACAACAAGGAGATAAGACAGACTTGTTAGATTCTCTTGCCTTTCAAAATAGCAGAAGTTAATAGCCGGACTTATTAATTCATGGAGTTGATTTGCAAAGAATGGTTTTTAAAATAAAATCTTACAATAATCATAGGAGATTAAATGAACTGATACATAATAATTCACGTATTTTATAGAGTTAGTAAAATCGTCAATAACATATGTTTATTGTTGTTTTATCACAAATAGATATAATTATGATATCAGCCTCTAGGGTTGTTTGTTTTAGTCATTTTAACATGCAACAATTATGAAATGTTGACTATTTAATCAGATAAATATTAGTATTTGAGTCATAAAGCAACAATTATCGAAATCATGTAGATCTTATGGCTTACGGTCATATATTCTTGGCCAATCCAGATTTGCCTAGGAGATTTGAACTCAATTCTCCTCTTAATAAGTACAACTAAAGGTGTTTGCGGTGTGGTTTTGTTCGAATTTTAATATTTTTAAACCAATCCAATTTAATCAATTAATAAAATTTTTAAACCAATTCAATCTACTATTATATGATAACTAAACCAATCAAACTTAAATCGGATCGGTGTGGTTTAGTCGGATTGCTCGGTTTTTAACATTATTAAATATATAAAATAATGTAAAAATATTTTAACATCAAATAAAAAGCATAACCATAAAACACATTAACATGCAAATTAGTAAAAACATAATAAAAAGTACAAATTATAAACGAGTTTTTATACTCCTTTACATTTGTAAAAATTGAAAAGATTTGAAAATTCTTCTTGATTACAACACTAGAGGCTTCAAGAACAATAAAAGATGACTTCAAGTTTCTAACATAACGTAAATCATTCTTAAAAATTAAAATTAGTTTTTTTCTTAATGCACTAATAATTTAATCTTATCTTCTAAATTATGTTAAAAGTGAATAAAATTTAATATGAATATCACTAAAATTGATTAGAAGCATTCATAATCAAAATTTAAAACTTCTAAACCAAATATCCAAGAATAATAGAATATCAAAACTAATTTTATTATATAGTTTTAAAACTTTTAGAATGATACTTGTTTAAAACTTAATTAAGAGAATCATAAGATTATTTTAAAAATAAATTAGAAATTTAGGATTTTAAGAGTAAAGGCGTAAACCAGTTATGAGGGGATAGAGTTGCAGGTGAATTAGAAATTTAGAATTATGGTTAAAGTGCATGATTAAAATGAAAAAATAATTTAAGGAATACGGAGATGTTCTATTTTTATTTTTTAATTAAGTTAATGGAGTTATTATCTTGTAAAAGAAGAAAAAGAAATTTTAAAATACTACAAAAAAATATATTATATTATTTCATTTAGTTATCTTGTAATCGAATTTTATGTTGTAATTGGGCAGTTTGGACAGTTTGAAGGTAAAACCACAAATCAAACCAATTATATCGGTTTTAAAATTTTATAATTCAAACCAACCCAATTTTATATCTGTTTAGATCAGTTTTTGATTGAATTAGATTAGTTTAGATCGGATCAATCGAATTGGATCGGATATGAATGGTTTTAACTACATAATATAGATATTTTGCACTTTTTAATCTTGTACTTTTTAAATTTGTTGTTGGTTACAGTAATTATTCATTTTTAGAGTATGATAAATTGGAATTTTGTTGATATTAATGTGGAATTTTTTTCCCTTGATATTATTGCTATTTGAATGAGTTTCATGAGATTTTACATGAATTTTCAATATTTGTGCAAGAAAGGAGTTACTTGGATGAAATGAAAACTTTTAGGACCAAGCAGTAGATATCAGTCACTTAAGGATTAAAGTGCGCAGAAACCAGAAGTTAGGAATCAATACTGTCATTTTGCCATAAAGTAAAATTGCGGTTGGGCTCAAAAGTTATCCACCGATTTAGTAGATGTGTCGCACCTTGAACAGGGTGTCGACCCCCCTTGGGCGATTTAATAGCCATTGTTATTTTGGTGTGGTTCCATATCTATGCCAATTAGGTTTTCTATATTGTTATAAATATTCATTTAAGATTAGAATTGAATGGATTTTGGGTTTTGGAGGCTTTTGGTAACCCTCTTTAGGCACTTTTAGAGACCAAATTAGAGTTGGTAAGAATTCATTAATAATAAAGAAGATTAAAGAAGTTAATAACCTCAAATTAAGTTTTTTTTTTTCTTGAGTTTATTCTTTATTTTGGTATGGATTCTTGGTTCATACTTAATATTCTATTACTTTTATTATAAACTAAT